TTGCCTCAAAGTTGAAGTACGCATTTTCGCAGCCAGCCTTCTTTAAATTCGTGTCGTCCAATAGGATTATAGCCCGCGCGGTGCGTTTTATGCGCGCAAAATTGAGATTGACCTGACAAAACCAATGCATTGTTATTCAATTTTAAGCTTATTGTTATTATAACAATTGTTTTTATTATTTAGCCAGACATTAAAATGTTGCTTTTCGCATAACTTGTACTCTACCGCGAGACAAAACAGCGGTGAGACGGCCGTAGAAACCGTTCAAACCCATCGCGTTTTGTGTGAATCGGCTTTTATTTTCACTAAAGCTGGGTCTCAATGTGGAACCACAGATTTATAAATTCAGTTTCCCATTACTTTCTTACTGTTAATGTTACCCGTGTTCACTCCGGACGCAAGCGAACGCCTCTCTTGTTTTATTTTAACGCCTCTCCTAGTCAGTCTGAAATTATATAATCTACGAATATCATCCGTGTTGATTTATATCAGTTTTATTTGGTACATATAAAATAAAATAAAAACCGTTCTAAATATAAGTCCAGGAGTGTCCTAATCATTTAGTCCTTTCTGTCAATGCAACTGAGGTGATTTAGCTCGGACATCGAGGTGTGCGTCGGCTTCCAAGGACAGCAAGTCAGGTTAAATTTGTTTACCATTATTTATCAAAACTGGTAAAAACTAAGTTTCTAGTCTTTGAGCTGCTAATTGAAATAATATTGCTTCTAATCATACACTCTCAGAAAAAAGTACATTTCTCTGTTAGTGTGCATATTAGTACCTTTTAGCTTTTGTACCTTAAGGTACTGCACCAGTGACAGTTCTGTACCTTTTTCTGAGAGTGTATGCATACAGAGTTATTGTGTATTTTTCTACATAGAAGTCATTTTTTTTAATACTGATTAATGCCCATTAAAAAATACATTGACTTTATTGTTTAAATAATTGTTAAAACCTCGAGCTCACACTGATCATTCTTTTTTCTCTCTTTCAGAAAGTGAGGTGGAAACGGTAGAGTGTGGTCTCACGGAGAACATGATCTCACATTTATGTCAAGGCTCCTTTAAAAAACAGGCCAAGTTTAACAAATGTGTACGAGATGAAGGAGGTGGCAACAATAACACTAGAACCAGTGCCAGCAGAATCCTATCAACAAACTTCGACGACAGAAATGTAAGTATAACACCGAGTAGAGTTGTTTCAGGTTTCTGTGGCGAACAGAAAGTTCAGATGAACAGCATTTATCTGAAATAGAAACCTTTTGTAACGTGTTTATCATCACTTCTGATCATTTTAAAGCATCCTTGCTAAATACAAGTGTTGATTTCTATCATTTCTTTCCCTGATATTGTACTTGCTGCCAGCTCTTGAGTGGTATTGTGTGTGTTCACCGCAGTTCTTACTGTAATGTGTTTAGTTGTGTTATAATGTGGTTGTGCTGCTAGCGTTCTGACACGTGTTGTGTTCAGGCTGATGTTTCTGAGGCTCTGGATATGGCACAATACATGTGTAAATGTCCTGAGACGAGCAGGTTGTGTTTAATAATAATAATATTATAAGGTAGCACATTCTGGAACACTCTGGAGCTGAACTCTTGCGGTGTTCTCGGCAGAGTGTGATGTTTTACGCAGCGGCGGTGAACGGGACTTTTATTTTGGCTGCCGGGCGCTGTGACGTCACACGCCCGCGTCGCGCCGCTGCTCTGGACTTCCGGCGGAAGAGAGGTTTGTTTGTGTTCGTTTGAAGTCGATGGAAACGACTCCGAGGTTAGTTTTAGACACCACATAAAACCCAACTATCTACAAAACCCCATTTATGCTGCTTTGGTGTTTGAGATTGAGTTATTGCTTGCCCTGACACAAAATAATCTCATATTTGCGAAGATGTCACTGCAGGCGTTCTTTACGAATTAAAAGCACTTAAAGCTCAATTATTAAGTCAGTTTAACGAATTGGGCACAGTGCAGTGCGCCGAGAGCAATCATCAAATCAGTGAATTGAATAAACTTTACTTGAAAGTATTTCTCAGATTGATTTAAGCATCACTAGAGAGTCACTTGAGCCGATCGATTCGGTTGCAGCGCTCGAAGCACAAGTATGTTTTGAGTGATTCGTGTTACTTTATTAACGCTTAGCACTAGCGTTGCGTGTTCTCGGGCCGTTTACAGCCGTTAACTCTCACTCTGACTGACCGTGTTTCTTTACTTCCAGACACAGAAGTCCTCCTGGTGCGGCGAGATGGCGTTCATTAAACAGGAGAGTGAAGACCTGAGGATTGTAGAAGTGTTCAGCTTGAAGCACGAGGACGCTGAGGAACTAACAGGTTGGGTTCATCCTCAAAGCCGTTATTTTATCTTTAATGACAGTCGGCAGCATGTTTAGCACTGTCCCTTTAAATGAAGATGCTCTCATTAATTACTCGCCCTCATGTCGTTCCCAACCTTCCTTCATCATCGGAACACTAATTAAGATATTTCATTATAGGCACAATATGTTAGATCTTTTTATTAAAATATCCAAAAACCACAAGAACAGTGGTATATATTTTGCTGGCTTGTGTACTTACATCATCCCAAATGTTTCGAATAATGTTTAAATCCAGAGAAATAACCAATTTTAACTAGAAGCACAGAGCGTGTCTATAGTGTCGCCTGCCGATGACATCATAACCCCTCGGTTTCCGGTTTAGTGTTGTAGAAAACATGGAAACACCAAAGACACTTTAATATGTTGTGTGTTTTATTAGACCGGTGACGACCGCACAGAGCAGCATTATAACAGAACTAAATGTATCTAGTATGATAAAACAGCGCTGCTTTACCCCACATATGAAGAAGGGATAATTGCAGCCTTCAGTGCTTCCTATGTAACTTGGCTTATCTACCCTACATGAAGAATACACTGACCTTCCTGCAGCGTTCAATGGCAAAGATTACTGAGGTGGGTGGCAAGCCCCTTCCAATATCTGTCACCGGAATAATTAATACCCTGTGTTTAAAAATGTGACTGTTGACAGTGTGAAGTATGCTTTAAAAGATGTATTCATAGTTGACTATGTCCATGCAGAGGAAATTCCTCTCTTTTTACAAATTAAATGCATTTTAAATATCAATACTGTATGGTTTCTGTGTGGGAAGTTTTTAATAGCAGTGTCGTATGATTCACACTTCCATGCATACACCGTAAAAGTTTACCTTGAGTGGAGTGTTATAAACCCAGGGCAAGAGATGGACTTTCAGGCCCTTGACGCGTACTCTCCCGATGATAAATTGTGTGATCCTTAAGAAGGTTTAAGAAAGTTCTAATTAAATGTGTCGTACTGTATTTGGTGAAATGTGTGTTTGTGATTAAATGTTTTAAGGGTATAAAGTTACATTTAATGAAATGTGTACAGTTGGGAAAAAAAGTGCTTTCTGATTCTTGCTGTGTACAATTGAGTATAAAAAGTCAACTCTTTTTTTCTTTCTTTTTTTTTTCTCCTTTTCAAAAGTAAAATTGCGCAATATATGCATCCTGTTATGACATTGTGATAGAGCTTATAACATTCATCCTGTGAAAAATGTGAGAATGTAATGGTTTTGAATGTTAAATAAATGTGATAAACAGCATTCTGGCCTTTTTAACGTGCTGTATGGAGTACACATTTGCCATCAAAGGGTACAAAAGGCTTGTCACTGGGGCAGTACCCTTAAAAGGACAAATTTGCACCGTTTTTAAAGGTACATTATGGTACCATAAGGTACAATTTAGTCAGCAGAGGTACATATTTGCCTTTGAAAGGCACATACTGCAAGGGTACAGATATGTAGGCATGTGAAAGGGTGCAACGGGTGTACCCTCGAGGGTACTGCCCCAGTGACAAGCCATTGTACCCCTGAAGGTACCAATTTTGCACATATTTATAACAGCTAAAGCTTCACGGCTTCACGGGGGTTATTGCTTTCTAATAAATATAGTTCAGCTGGACGATGAATGGACACGAACACACTTCAGCTCATTACGTGGGTGTGAATAATTGCCTGATATCGACTCTGCAATTCCACTAATAATCAGCAGAGTCCAGAAAATGAACGGCATCTCTAAAGAACGCTGCAACGAAGAAAACAAAACATTATAATAAGCAGTGTGTTCACATGCATGTGCTGGCTCTGAATACTTACACATCTATACTCGAGGGACAGATAGCTCATTTTACATCTACAATCAACTGTTTAAGTCAGTCCAGAGAAAGCAACGGGTAGCATGATTGGACTTTATCCTTTCTTTTAAGTGTATTTATATGGTTTAGTGTCACTTCAAGACCTACCTAACCGGTTAAACTGACGCAGTGCAGCAGTGATATTAATGCAAGTGTTTTCTGCAGAGTGCTCTACTTGTACTCGTCAGACCTGAATCAGGGCTCTAGACTGAGACCAATGTTCTTTGAGAATGTGCACGTTGAAATGTGATGCTATGTGAGGATTTTTTTGATCGTGGGTATTAAAAGACACGTGTCCTCGGGTTTGAACACGCGTTTAAACTCGGCTCCGCTCTATTATCATGTTGAAAACAACCGAGTAGAGTTGTTTCAGGTTTCTGTGGCGAACAGAAAGTTCAGATGAACAGCATTTATCTGAAATAGAAACCTTTTGTAACGTGTTTATCATCACTTCTGATCATTTTAAAGCATCCTTGCTAAATACAAGTGTTGATTTCTATCATTTCTTTCCCTGATATTGTACTTGCTGCCAGCTCTTGAGTGGTATTGTGTGTGTTCACCGCAGTTCTTACTGTAATGTGTTTAGTTGTGTTATAATGTGGTTGTGCTGCTAGCGTTCTGACACGTGTTGTGTTCAGGCTGATGTTTCTGAGGCTCTGGATATGGCACAATACATGTGTAAATGTCCTGAGACGAGCAGGTTGTGTTTAATAATAATAATATTATAAGGTAGCACATTCTGGAACACTCTGGAGCTGAACTCTTGCGGTGTTCTCGGCAGAGTGTGATGTTTTACGCAGCGGCGGTGAACGGGACTTTTATTTTGGCTGCCGGGCGCTGTGACGTCACACGCCCGCGTCGCGCCGCTGCTCTGGACTTCCGGCGGAAGAGAGGTTTGTTTGTGTTCGTTTGAAGTCGATGGAAACGACTCCGAGGTTAGTTTTAGACACCACATAAAACCCAACTATCTACAAAACCCCATTTATGCTGCTTTGGTGTTTGAGATTGAGTTATTGCTTGCCCTGACACAAAATAATCTCGACTTTGCGAAGATGTCACTGCAGGCGTTCTTTACGAATTAAAAGCACTTAAAGCTCAATTATTAAGTCAGTTTAACGAATTGGGCACAGTGCAGTGCGCCGAGAGCAATCATCAAATCAGTGAATTGAATAAACTTTACTTGAAAGTATTTCTCAGATTGATTTAAGCATCACTAGAGAGTCACTTGAGCCGATCGATTCGGTTGCAGCGCTCGAAGCACAAGTATGTTTTGAGTGATTCGTGTTACTTTATTAACGCTTAGCACTAGCGTTGCGTGTTCTCGGGCCGTTTACAGCCGTTAACTCTCACTCTGACTGACCGTGTTTCTTTACTTCCAGACACAGAAGTCCTCCTGGTGCGGCGAGATGGCGTTCATTAAACAGGAGAGTGAAGACCTGAGGATTGTAGAAGTGTTCAGCTTGAAGCACGAGGACGCTGAGGAACTAACAGGTTGGGTTCATCCTCAAAGCCGTTATTTTATCTTTAATGACAGTCGGCAGCATGTTTAGCACTGTCCCTTTAAATGAAGATGCTCTCATTAATTACTCGCCCTCATGTCGTTCCCAACCTTCCTTCATCATCGGAACACTAATTAAGATATTTCATTATAGGCACAATATGTTAGATCTTTTTATTAAAATATCCAAAAACCACAAGAACAGTGGTATATATTTTGCTGGCTTGTGTACTTACATCATCCCAAATGTTTCGAATAATGTTTAAATCCAGAGAAATAACCAATTTTAACTAGAAGCACAGAGCGTGTCTATAGTGTCGCCTGCCGATGACATCATAACCCCTCGGTTTCCGGTTTAGTGTTGTAGAAAACATGGAAACACCAAAGACACTTTAATATGTTGTGTGTTTTATTAGACCGGTGACGACCGCACAGAGCAGCATTATAACAGAACTAAATGTATCTAGTATGATAAAACAGCGCTGCTTTACCCCACATATTCACTTCGACGGCTTTCCGTGCTCTGTGCTCTGCTTCATACTACGATATTAATAAATCTTTAATACATTAGCTCATCTATGAACATGATTTCTGCCCGAGTTCCGTTGGATTGCGACCACAAATCCCATGATTCCACACTCAGTCACGGCGTCATCAAACTACGCCTTTGCTTCTTTGTTTATTTTGAATACGCACTCTCCAGCGGTGAAAACTATATGAAAATATGAAAACATATATTGTACCTTTAAATCTGACAGCTCTCAGACCCTCCCATAGACAGGAACACAACTGTAATGTTCCCAGGTCCATAAATGTACTAAGCGTATATGTTCGGTAAAACAGCCTATATAGCAAAGTGGCCTATGAACTCCTTGCGAGTGACTTCTGTTGATGAAACCGCAAACTATTTACTATTTTTCTTCGGTTAATTGCATCTCTGACTCCTGGTCTTAGTTCAACATATGAGGTCCTTAGGTCTTAACTGTACATCCCCTACACTTCAATAATGATGATGTTTAAATCCTGATTGAACCGCTCAGGCGATCGGGATGTCGATGGCCAGCCTTGTGGTGCTCGAGCGCCATTTATGGCTGACGCTAACGGAGATCAAGGACGTGGATAAGGTCCCCTTTCCTTGATGCCCCGATCTTCCCCAACGGCCTCTTCGGGCCTGCGGTCGAAGGGTTCGCAGAGCGCTTCACGGAGGCACAGAAGTTGTCCCAAGCTATGCGACACTTCGCTGCTGCCCCTAGTCGCCCTAAGTCTACACCGACTCAGCAGCCCGCAAAGCCAGCACCTGCCGGCCCAGCCGTCCAGCCTGCTAAGACTCAGCAGACACGAGGGCATTCCCGCTCGGCCAGACGCTACCCCTTTCCTAAGCGCCAGGGACCCCGACCCAAGATAGCGTTGGACCTGGCGCCTCAGGTGTCTTCCTGATCTGCGAGACAGGAAGAGGATGGGGCCAAGTCTCGCTGCAGCCGGACCACACCCCCAAGCAGCCTCTCTTAAGCCTCCTATCACCCTCTTCAACCCTGGGTGCAGAGGGAAATGTGTTTGTTGTGAACACGGCCCGTTCAAGCGCCTAAGCAACCAACTGCTGTTATAGCAGGAAAAATAAAACACAAACATTTTCAAAAAGAGAGCAAAATTCCTCTTCCATTTCTCACAAGTGCCCTGGAGTGTCAAAATGTGTTATGGGGATAATAAAACAAGGTTATTCACTCCAATTCGCTCAAAGACCCCCGCGCTTCAGCGGCATGGTCCCCACCTTAGTGCACTTACGTTCCGGTGATAAATCTGCTGGCAAAAGGAGCTGTAGAAACGGTTCCTCCAGCTCAGAGCGAGTCGGGCTTCTACAGCTTCCTCATTACTTCCTCATACCCAAAAAGGATGGTGGCCTCCGGCCCATCCTCAATCTCAGACACCTGAATCATGACCACATGAAAAGGTAATTCAGGATGACTACGCTGAAACGGATCCTTGTGGAATGGGCTCAACTCAATCTGCGCTCGCTGGGGGCAGTGCATATACCGGGGCAAATTGAATCGAGGAGCAGACATGTTATCAAGGAGCAATGTTCCCTCAGAGGAGTGGATGCTCCATCTTCAGATGGTTCAGAGAATCTGGGAGATCTTCGGCGAGGCCGAGGTAGACCTCCTCACCTCAGAAGACAACTCTCATTGCCCAATTTATTATTCGAAGATCAGGGACGCGTTGGCCCATGATTGGCCCAACCTCCTCCTTTATGCATTTTCCCCAATTGCCCTGATCCCACAGGTAATCAGGTGAATCAGGGAACAGAGACACAAGGTTCTCTTGGTGGCCCCTCTCTGGAAGAACCAACTTTGGTTATCAGAGCTGACCCAGCTGCTGGTAGCAGCCCCTTGGCCCATTCCGTTGAGAAAGATTTCCTTTCTCAAGCGGACGAGACAATATGGCACCCTTGGCCCGAGCTTTGGGTACTGCACCTCTGGCCGCTCGACGGATGCCTACAAGCCTCCAAGAGCAAGTTTTAAAGAGCGGGAGTCTTTGTCGCCATAGGCTCGTGCTGCTCCGCTTCCAAGCCATTGGTTTGTTTTAAATACACTGCGTAATTGAAAAAGGCTTCAGTTCAGGAGAAAAAAGGCTTTTTCCCATAGTGTCTTTAGCAATATGCAGTACTCGTTCCCGTATCTCAGGGAACCGAGGTTACGTTTTGTTGCATAATGTTAGTTTTGATGTTTTAATACTTTTATCTTGGTTTTGCGCTCTGTTGCTTTGAGCCATTAAACTCCCATTAACTATTTGTCATTTTTTCACTTTAGATCTGATGGCAATAAAAGAAGAGAGTCAAGAACTGAAAGAAACAGAAGAGAAAGATCAAAATGAGAGACATGATTTCTTTGTTGTAGAAAAATCCATACCGACTGAAACCAATTCAGTTCAGAAGACCAAACCTCCCAGTTACTTAACTTGCCATGAATGTGGAAAGTGTTTCACATTAAAAGTAAACCTTAATGAACACATGAAAATTCACACTAGAGAGAAGCCGTTCACATGCCAGCACTGTGGAAAGAGTTTCACACTAAAAGGAAGCCTTAATGAACATGTAATCATTCACACTGGAGAGAAGCCGTTCATATGTGATCAGTGTGGAAAGTGTTTCACTAAAAAAGGAAATCTTAATAAACATATAACCATTCACACTGGAGGGAAACCGTTCACATGTGATCAGTGTGGAAAGAGTTTCAGATATAAAGAAA